GCAGCTCCTGACACCCTGCTAGGAACCGGCCGCGCCCCACTCCCACCCTGGGCACACACTGCCCTCTGCTCCGCTGCACCTGAAGCACGACAAATGCCACATACAACCATCAGCTATTCTGAGGCACCAAAAATAAATATCCACAAACTCTAGGAGATTTGTTGAGATACTGTTACCTAAAATACCTTTGAAAAACCCACATTATGGGAGCTTTGTAACATACAGCATAAAATTCTCAAGCTGCTGCAACAGTGTTTAACATCATCTATTTACAACTGCAAAGTCTCACTATAAATTGATAAACAATGACTAAATTTACAGAATTAAGGCTATCTGCACAAAATGTAAAATATTGGCTAAACAATGTTTTCTTCTTAGATAAATCTTCTGCAACATTTCAGCAAGACAGGGTCCTTCCCAAAAGTAACACCGTAGGAAAAAGATGCTGCCCTTTTTGGTAAGGGTACAAAAACTAAATGTTATGCAAAGTAGTCTGGGAGCCAAGATACGAATGATTGATAAGAGAAGAAAAGCTAAAACTTCAAAGTAACAGCTGAATGAAAAGAGGGACCTACCAAACGTACACATAAACCAGACAGTTCCAAACAAAGGAAATTTACCAGGAAGTGATACAATCAATAAACACCTAACTGATACTTCTAGCTCAATTAGTGTTGTGACAAAACAGTTCCCGGGTTTTGGCTTTTTCCCCCCGGCAGTAGAACAGGTCACAGAACCCACAGACACTGCTGAGAGCCAGCGTGCCCGGAGCTCCTGCACTGCCCTGGGGCATCTGCAGCACCTCCAGTGAAATAACCAACCCTGGCAAGGAGCCTGGCCAAGGGAGCCAGGAAAAGGGCTTTTGGAATGTTCTTTTCTCTCCAAAATAAAGCTGCCGTTCTTCAGGAAGATCTGAAAGGCACAATGCAATTTCCAGTTTTGCTCTGACTTTGTACAGTCATATCACCTCAAATTTATTTCAACCTATGAATAATTTTGCCACAAAACACATTTTGACTAACTTTACTGATAGTGCAAAAATGATTCATGATATTATGAAAAACTCTGAACAGAGTGGCTGCTTAAAATAACAACATAAAATGGAATTGTTTCTTGCATGCATCCTTTTAGAACAGCTTGGAAATAAGTTTGTGATACAACTTTGGAAAATAGAAAATATAGTAAAAGATTCAGCCCCTGGGCTTTTTACATTCTCATCAAGATGTGACACACCTTGAGTGAATCTCTGTAAGTCAGAACACACATTTGTTGCATGTATGAAATAATCAACAGACAAAGCAGAAATCACTTTATTACAATGCAGCCATAGCTTCATAATCAGAACTCAAATTTTCATGTCCACTAGTATTAAAAAAACAAACTCAAAACATTGCCTCCACTTGGAGCAAGGGAACTGTGCAGTATACTTGCACGTTCTAGTTAGAAGAAACTAGATTTTATAAATATACCATTCCAAAAGCAGACCACAGACTTCATTCAGATATTTTAATTCACTGATATATGTGTATATATATGCATATATATATATACACACACCTAGCCTTCATTGACATTCCAAAGGATGCTCCTCCTAGGTTTGCCCTAAACCTGCTGGAAAAGCAACAACAACAATACCGAGCAGATGAATACATCATACAAACGGCTCTGGCGCTTCCAGGTCCAGCACGCCCGGACAGACACCCCAAGCTGCGCTGCCTGCAGCCAGCCAGCGGCAGGGGAAGCCTTACACGGGACTTGTTGCTTCACGCCGCGGGAAAAACAGGGAGAAGGGATCCTGGAGAGCGCCGGCT